ATAAGATTGGGCATGGTGGCGTGTGCCTCTAGTCCTGGCTACTCTGTAGTCCAAGTTACTTGGGAGGGTTAGGTGGGAAGATCACTCGAGCCCAGGAGTTCAATGCTGTAGTGTACTGTAATCGTACCTGTGAATAGCCAACTGCACTCTAGCCTGGGCAACATAGCAAGAAGTTATCTCTAAAAGAAATTAAAATGAAAAAACTAAAGTAAGAAATAAGGAAATATCCCTTTGCTGTCCCGAAGTGTATTTTGAGAATGAAATTACTGTGGAAAAAGAACCTGTGTCCCTTATTGGTGATTCTTGTACATGAAGTTGTAGCAATAAAGCAGAAATATTTAAGAATAGTTCTTGCCAAATAAGTGCTTTAGAAGTTTTTTAATCCGTTTTCTTTGTTGACATTTACCATAACCAGTTGACATAAATTATTATAGTTCTATTCTATTTGCTATATGATTTCTTATATTCAAATTTTAGGATAAATAACTATAGTTTCCCAAAATGCCAGTCTAATGAATATTAGTTTCAAGAACAATAGAAACTGTTCTTTGCTTCTTTGCTTGTGTATATTTTAAAATATACCATTTAAATTGTGCTTTTATTTGTATCTTTTTTTGGCCTCCTTTCCCCTGCCATTGGTCTTTATTGCTTATGTTTAAGTACCTTAAAGATCTTCATGTCTTTAGGAATCTCTCTAAATGTGAATTGTTCTTTGAGCCTGGAAACATCTTAATTTTTCATTATAGGAAATGCTGAAGAAGTGTCATCTTTGTATGGAGTCAATAGTACAAGCCAAAGATAGACAGGCTGCTGAAGCAAACAAAAATGCCAGCATTTTGTTAGAGGAGTTAGACTTGGAAAAGGTAATGATAATCTTTACATATAAAAACCACCCTTTTTTTCCATCCTATTTTTTTTCTTCCCTTAATTTGTAATTCACTATTTTTTGTTTTTGATTTTGCTTTAAATTATGTACATGGTTTTTTCTACACGTTCGGCTCAAAAAGTAGAGAGAATTTTTAAGTATCATTAAAGGCATTCTCTTTGTAATCGTATTAACAAAATTTTATTATAGGAATTGCATTGATCTGGAAGTCAGGAAACTTAGCTTATAATTCTGGATTTTAGTCTTATCTCAACTAATGATTTCTTAATCCTCAACCACATCTGTGGTTCTTTGATCCCAGACCTTGTAATTTATTCCCAGCAGATTTATCAGAAGTACCAAAACATAACCAGCTATTGAAATACAACCACTGGAATTTCTAATGAGTACGTTTTTTCAAATGGGTGACTTCTCTTGTACTTTTCTCTTTCAGGCAGACTACAGCATCACTCCCATCTATTTCCATGGGGAGTAAAATAGTCCAAAACGGCATATAGTTTGGACAGTCCCATAGCTTCTTCGCTTTCTGTTTCTGCCAACTTTTCCCCAATAACTCTGTACTGTAGAACTTAATACAAATAATTAAGGAAAAGAACTGGTTTGACATTGAATATTATGGATCTGCCCTATTTCACCTTATATAAAAAGGCCCAAAATGCTATAAAATTTAACGTGACTTTAAATTTGTAAAGAAAATAATGTGACAGTTATGCATATGCCTTTTTTTTTTACTTGAGTCAGTTCCATTCTTTTTCACTATACATGCTGCCTTTATTATGCTCTGTATTTCATCTTACATGAAGAAAATATGAATTATCCTAAACATTTTATCCTAATTTAAATTTGAAAATACTAATTTCTGAAGAAATACATTGAAAATTAGAAGTTCTTCATTCTCAAAAATTTCTAGTTTATAATCTGATCAGACTAAAATTAGGTTTTTTGGCCATTTAAAATTTTAAAAGAATATGAGCACTTTGAGGGATG